AATGATAATTCATAGGAGATCAATCTTACAGATTTCCAGTTTTAGACCTGGCTGAACAAAGAGCTGTTATCTTTCTGACCAGGTATCAGAAAAGCCCTGGCAAACTCAGCGGACTTAGCTTTATTTTGTTAAGATTTTCCTGACAGGGAGAATATGCTTCCATGGTGTTGTCACAGCAGAGGAAAACAACTTCAAACCCCTCAGCCCTGAAAAATCTGCCCACATATTTGGAGATGAAATTATAGGAAGAGAGAAGATAAATCTGCTAATGGCTTAACAGAAACACTTCTGGATGACTTGAGTATGCCTCACTAAAAATGAAGTTAAGATGTTTTTTAATGTTTCTGCACATGCCATCAATGCCAGGATAATTAAGGTACACAAAGATAGAGAGATGTGCAAAAATAATAGGGGTTAAACAGTCTTTTCAGCTAGTATAATGGTTTGGAAAAGACTCTGGCTATTTGAGTCACTGGTATTTGGTTGGCCTGTTCAACTGTTTCTCTCAATTATTCACATTATTAGGACAGAAGCAAGGTCTCCAGTATCCTCTGGATGGATAAATGAGACAAAGGGCTCAGTGGTGCCAATCAAAATGATTCTTCTTATTATAAAAACTTTCAGACTCTTTGCAACCCCCATGGACTGTAGCCCACCAGGTTCCTAACTCCATGGAATTCTCCAGGCAAGAATACTAGAGTGGGTTGCCATTTCCTTTTCCAAGGGATCTTCTCAACCCAGGGATTGAACCAAGGTCTCCTGCGTTGCAGGTGGATGCTTTACTGTCTGAGCTTCTAGAGAAGCCCCAAGATGAAGTTTAAAACCATCTAATTGCTAAAATAACTACTCCTCTCATCTTGCAGAGGTCAGAGGGGGAATCCAGCCATATATAGCTATGGTAACCAAGAGAATGCAATGGAACCTGCAACTAGCCTTGCTACTATGACTTGCCCCTTTGTTTCATTCAGCTTTTTCCTGTCTCTTCCCTCCAATTTTGGTGTTAGGTACAAGAGCTGTTAGTACTTAGGTATCTATGTACTATGTACTACCTGTGATCTAATAACTATATTAGGATCTAATAACTATATTAGATCCTACATGAATAAGTTCTCTATCCTCAGTGCCTGGTGAAGTGTGTGAAGTTAAAGTTTACTGGTGTACAACATTCATAGAGCATTTTTAGTTCTAAAGTGCTACCTGAACACAGGGAAAAGAAAAACAGGAGAGAAAAGCGAAAATTAAAGGAGAGTAAGGAATGAGTAGAAAAAACTGTGTGTCAAGACTTTAAAAACTATTCTGGTGCTCACTTTGGTAGCACATATATAGTAAAACTGGAACGATACAGAGAAGATTAGCATGGCCCCTGTGCAAGGATGGTATGCAAATTCATGAAGCGTTTCATATTTTTCTGTATCAACCTAGAGGGGTGGGATGGGGAGGGAGATGGGAGGGGGGTTCAAGAGGAAGGGGACATATGTACACCTATGGCTGATTCATGCTGATGTTTGACAGAAAACAACAAATTCTATAAAGTAATTATCCTTCAATTAAAAAATTAATTAATTAAAAAAAGAAATCTGAAAAAAACTATTCTGGGCAAGTTTTCCTTCATTAACTATTTTAACTTTCATTAGATAAATTATATCTGTTCCATCTGCTTGATGTATATACAAAATCCTAGTGTTCTCATTATCTAACACCCCAAACCTAGTGCTTTCAATTTATTTTCTCCATTTGTGAGTGAAAGTCGCTCAGTCGTGTCTGACTCTTTTCAACCCCATGGACTTTTCAACCCCAAGTCCATGGAATTCTCCAGAATACTGGAGTGGGTAACCTTTCTCTTCTCTAGGGGATCTTCCCAACCTAGGGATTGAACCCAGGTCTCCCACATTGCAGGTGGATTCTTTACCAGCTGAGTCACAAGGGAAGCCCAAAAATACCAGAGCAGGTAGCCTATCCCTTCTCCAGCAGATCTTCCTAAGCTAGGAATTGAACCCGGGTCTCTCGCATTGCAGGCGGATTCTTTACCAACTGCGCTTTCACTAAAAACAGTTACAATGTTGAGACCAGTAGGCTTACTCTTCTGGATAAGCAGCCTCTCTGTCAATACAGAAATTCAACTGCTTACTGAATATAACTGGAAAAGAATGGTAACTTGAAGGCCCACATTACCTTCCTCAGAGAGGGAGAGGAAGATAATATACTGGAAACACTACCTTGTGTGTGTGTGCTGAGTCACTGAGTCATGTCTGACTCTTTGCGACCCTATGGACTGTAACACACCAGGTTCCTTTGTCCATGGGATTCGCCAGGCACAAATACTGCAGTGGGTTGCCATGCCCTCCTCCAGGGTATTTTTCTGACCCAGGGATCAAACTTGCGTCTCCTGCATTGGCAGGCAGATTCTTTACCACTGAGCCACATGGGAAGCCCTAAAACTTACATTTTTTCAAAAGAAAAAAATACTTAGTTTTACTATGTTTTAAAAGTTAAGCGGAAAAGTGTTTATAAACTTAAAGGAGTATTATTTAAGCTTCTGTGAAAAATGGTATATAATGACTGAATCTCTCATTGGCTAATAAAGCAGAGCTGAGAGAATGTCTAGATTTAAATATTAAAATTATCTTTTTAAGTTCTATAATAATGCTGCTAATGAGCTTACCAAATTTCACATTTCACTTTACAACCATCCCATGAATTAGAGACTCCTGACCCTTGCAAACTTCACGTCTGTCTTCTAGCGAAGGTGGACAGATATTCTACAGATCTGAGGTATAGGTAAGTCAAAGAGTTATATATGGCTACCAAGTTGATTATCAAAGAATCAAATATAATTTCTCCCCTTTTTAGTTTTTACCTTTATTTTCCTTATTAAACTTGAGAATAGTCTTATTAAAAAAAACTAAAACACATTCATTTCTATTTAAAAAACACAGTATTAGACAAGATGGTTGGAAATATTCATTGATTAAAATACCTCTAGTTTTTGAAAACATAATAGATGGAAGCTTGTATCATTACTTTCCTGATTGTTATACCTTACATAAGACTACATTAGTCAACTTTTAATATTTTAGTGAGATTCTATTTCCTTTGGATATATACCCCAAAATGGGATTGCTGAATCATGTGGTCGTTCCATGTTGGTAAAAGGGTATTAATCTTATAATTATAAGATGAATAAGTTCTGGGGATCTAATGTACAGCATGATGACTATAATTAAAACTGTAATGTATACTTAAAAGTGGCTAAGAAAGTAGACCTCAAGTATTCTCATCAAAAAGAAATGGTAACTGTGTGAAATGATGGAGGTATTAACTAATCTTACTGTGATAATCACTTCTCAATACCTAAGTGGATCAAATTATCACACTGTATATCTTAAATGTACATAATATTAGTGTCAGTTATATATCAATAAACCCAGGGAAAAAATAAAGAGTAAATTTAAAAAACAACAACAAAAAAAAACTAAGTAAAATAAGGCCTGTACTTCTGCTATTTTAGAAAACTTTTCTAGTTCAAGAATCAGAATAAAGAAGAAAAACATATTAGCATAGCTAACATATACAACTAACAATTCTCGGTTTACATGTTTAGTTATTCCAACTTAATAAAATCTGACTTAGTAATGTCTTACTATTTAAAGGATACTTTAACTCACTTAATTCACTCAATATAGAATGATTACCTAAGTCAACAGGTATGCAAAAATCACAGGACCTTCCCTCTGAGCACTTGAAAAGAAAAAGGATTAAGAAGGATTCAGAGAAGACAGCGATCACTTCTGGTTGGCTGTGAGTCAGAGAAAGAACAGGATCATGAAAGGCTTCATGGAAGAGCTGACATTGATGACTGTGACATGAAGAAACAGGAAAAAAGGAAAAAGGCATCTCAGAGGAAAGGTGAGCAAACACTAACATGGCAAAGAATGAGGACACAGTTCAGGAAAGAAGAAAGGAACACACAGTGGAGGAAAAGTAGCATCACTTAAAAGGAAAAGAGAAAAAATTTAAAGGTAGAGGCAGACCAGATTTTGAGGAAGGTGTTCAATACTTAGGCTTTTACTTTTTCTACATTACGGACAATTCACAAAAGAAGAATGGAGGGGACTTCCCTAGCGGACCAGTAGTTAGGAATCTGTGATTCCACTGTAGGGGGCACAGGTTTGATTCCTCATCAGGGAACTAGAATTCTGTGCAGCAAAAAAACAAAACAAAACAAAACAAGAAAGCAGAATTGAAGAAAACAAATGTTTTAGGAAGCTGATGGATGCAGCGGTGGTAGTAGGAGGGGAATTAACAACAGCAGCAAGCGACTGACTATCAAGGCAAAGAGAGAAAAATGACCAAAAAGTCATACTTCAAAATGCTATTTCAGAGGGTTATTTAATACCATCAGTACTGTGCAGAGTCACATTGGAGAGTAGGGTGAAAATAAAAATCAGTAATACTGATTGTCTTTATTCAAATTTTTGATGTTTTATCATGAATTTTTTGCATTAACTTTGGTTTTTAACAATAGTTCTTGAAAATATTTGATTACTGAGTTTCCTGGCGTGTTCTTAGAATCTGCACCTAAGGCAAATATCCTAACTTTTTGACACAAAAGCATATACATGTCAGAAGTTCCCAAGAACTATTATTGTACAATAATTGACTTTCAGACTGCTAACCCCTAGCCATCGAAAAAAAGGGGGGTTAATTCCTGTTACATACATTTAAGAGGACAGGGAGTTCCATAATTTGTTTATAAAAGGTTCCCCAAACAACATTAAAATAATATTAATTTTAGCTTGAATGGAGGAAAGGAGTTTAACTTATGTAGAACACTTCTGGTTTCTATGTTTTAGTCAGTATACTAGCCAAGTGCTACCTATATGTAAAACTTTGAGTATTCTTTGAATACTGTCTGTTTCTCAAGTTTATCCAGGGGAAAACAAAGTTCCTTCCAAAAGCCCTTCTCATGTTTCTCTGACCTTATCAAGGTTACTTTTTACCTCTCTTTGGTGGTCGTACATGATAGGTTAAGTCATTAATGACCAGCTTAAAGTCGTCAAGGAGGAGGAGGTCTATTCCTGTTGAGGCAGCAACTCGAACGCCATCTGTGAAAAATTTAAATGTGAAAATTTTAATTTGTCATATGTCCATAATTATTCAAGAGTGGTCAGGAAAGAAAGCAATCCTCAAAATAGATTTTAAAATTATGTCTTTTAAATTTCAGTTAGCTTTTTGCCTTATCCCCAAACTCCATGTAAAATAAAGCTTATATTATCTGAGGCTTTTTGTTTTCATGGCCTCAAGTCTGTTAAGATTTAACAATGTACTTTTCTGGCAGAACTTCATGAACAAATGAAATAATTACATAGATGCATAGGTGTCATCTGGAAACCTAGGGTCACTGGGAGACCTGCATGGATGTCTATTTGTCTATGATGGAAATTGATTGCTAAAAAACCAACATCTTCTAGTATATGGAACTTTGCAGTATAGTTACTGATTAGTTGCCAATAATCCAGTAGGGGCAGATGCTAGGGTGAGCAAAGTACACCAAGTTCATCTATTAATTATGAGTTGAGAATTAAGCATATTTAAACTACAGGGACTTACTGTACTAGGCTTTTATGTTTTCTGTACATTTAGAATTTTTCAAAGTGAAAGTGGTAAAAATGTAAGGCACTTAAAAAATAAATAAATGAAATGGATGTCATGCCAAGTGGGAATGTTAGTGTCTTATTTTCTACTACTTTCAAATCACATGTCTTTATTTTATAAACGTTTATGTGAAAGACATGAAAAGATCTAAAAAGAAGTCCTAATATTTCATATCTTCAGAGATGATGGCTCAACTACTGGATAAGTTTATTCTATGCCTAAGGTAATGACAAAAGGTCTCAAAAGTATAAAATGTGATTGATGGCTCATCTTTGCCCATGGCATTATATGTGAGGTGCTTTTGAATGAGATCCCTGTGTATTAATATATACCCTTGCTAAAACTGAACAATCATATTCTAAAAACTGGGAGAGAAATCGCTGTCTCTCCTGACATTTGCTAAGCAAAAAATTATGTCCCAAAGTTAAAAGCATGGGATCATTTGCAGCGCCTGTGTGTGTGTGTGTGTGTGTGTGTGTGTGTGTGTAGAAGCAGTTTAGAGGGGGAACAAGGGGTGGGTGGAAATGAATAATGAAGGTGACTATACCTGGTGAATAGATTGCAACTCTGTCAATTCCCCGATCCTCTTCTTGTAGTTGTCGTAAAAACACACCAACAGAGTCTGAGATAGGTTTGAGTGTGAACTGACAGCGTTCACGCCGGGATGGTAGCCTCACAGATATCACAGGTAACCCATTTTGATACACCACTGTCACATCTGAATGAAAAAGACCCATAATCATATGATAATCAGATTTCATTATAAGTTAAAGTGATATTATTAATCTTCTTAAATGGGGGTTTATTATTATTAGTGTTGTTTAAAATGTTTCCAAAGGTTCAAGAATATGTCCTTTAGCTTTAACTGAAGATTATTCTGGGAATTGGCTTATGGAAGATTGTATCTATCACACAAATCACTTTTCAGAAAAAATAAAATATGCAGAGGATTATCTTTTAAGTGGGTCAAGAAGAGGCTTTCCCAGAAATCTGAGGTAAAGTTCTTGGTATTGGTAAATATAAACCCTGATTCCATTTACTAAAATTTTATTAAGTAGTCAGAGATTGCTGGGCCAGATTCTATATCCTGTAGGAGAAGGTTCTTGGGAGCCAGAGCTTTCAAGGATTCGTGGGGAATAACATGTGAACGTATACTAGTAAGTAAGACTTACTCAAGGACAGCAACTCTTATTGATTGTACATACAATATTATATCCAAGGTGCTTGATAAGTAAGCGTTCTCTTATACAATGTGGACATACTAGGATACAATAAAAACAATTTCTTTTAAGTACTCTTGAACATTTTCCTGAGGTTAGCAAGAAGTCAAAGCTCAACATTTTGGGACTTATTAACAAAAAGTTATTAAGGGAAACATTATCATAAGCTACACAACTGACAGGATTTTCTACAACAGTTTGGCACAGAATTCCTTATTTTCTTATCTTATTCCTTAATTCTTAACTTATAGAACCTTAGTCTCTAAAACAAGTGTCAGAATAACTCTTTCAAATCATTTTCAAATGAATTTTCAAATAAATTTTGAGCAAGAATTTTTTACACAAGCAACCAAGCATTTAAAGACAGTAATTTAGCATTAGCCTGTAAAAGGAAAACAGGGTATGGAGTCAAATCTGGCATGGAATCCTGACTTTAACTTTGGACATATTATGTAACTTCTGTGAGCCTCACTTTTTCATATATCAAATGGACTTAATGCCTAACTGATACAGTAGTTGTGAGGAATAAATAAACCATTTATAACATACTGCTTTTAGATGAGTGATGTTTATTAGCTTTTTTTGAAAAAAGAATTAAAGGATACATTCTATAAAGTTTGTAAGGATTCATACTCCTTAAAACTGAAGAGCTGAGAAGAAATCTACATAGAACAATGTTTTGGAGATTCTAAAGTTTAATTCCATTAAACTTTCATAATTGGAGTCATTTACCTATTTTTTCCTTGCCTGGTCTAATAAATAACGCCTATAATGAATACAGAAGACTCACACTACATTGTTCATGACTTAAATAACACTTATTGAAACACAGTTTATCAATAACAAAATACATTCTTATTTGAAATGAATATCTGATGAATTCTGATGTAACAGGATAAAGAACATTTCCATCAGCCCCCCAAATTCTCTTGATCCTCACTCCAGTTAACCCCTGGGCAACTACTGGCTGGATTTTTGTCACCATAGATTATGTTCAGTTTTTTTAGACTTATACTGCTGGAATAATATAATATAGCATGTACTCTTTTGTACCTGGATGATTTTGAGATTCATCCATGTTGTTACATGCATTAATAATTGATTTGTTTTTATTGCTGAGTAGCATTTAACTATACATGGATACGCTATAATTTTGTTCATCCATTTACCATGACTGACATGTGGATTGTTTCCAGGTTTTGACTACTATGAATAAGCTTTATATGATTATTTACTTACAAGTCTCTGAGTAGACATATGTTTTTGTGGTATACCTTTTCTCATCCTTTTACTTTTAACCTATCCATGTCTTTATATTTTAAGTGGGTTTCTTGCAGACAACATATGGTTGAGTCTTGCTATTTTACCCAATCTGACAATCCCTATCTTTTAAAGTATGTATATCATTTGCGTTTAATAAATTATAAATATGGTTATGTATAAGTCTGCCATCTTGCTACTTTTCTTGACTCAATTCTTTCTTCTACTTTCCATCTATTCGTGCCCTCTTTTAGATTAACTGAGTATTCTTATGATTACATTTAATCTCTACTATGTGCTTCCCTGGTGTCTCAGTGGTAAATAATCTGCCTGCCAATGCAGGACACGCAGGTTAGATCCCTGGGTCAGGAAGATACCGTGGAAAAGGAAATGGCAACCTACTCCAGTATTCTTGCTTGGAAATCCCTTGGACAGAGAAGCCTGGTGTAGGTTACAGTCCATGGGATTTCAAAAGAGTTGGCCATAACTTAGCAACTAAACAACAATACCAACAACAAACTGGCTTATTAACTGTACCTCTTCATGGTTTTGGGTTATTCTACAGCAATAATGGCAATGCTTTTCTATAAAGGGTAGATATTAAATACTTTAGGTTTTGGGCGGTCATAAAATCTCTGTTGCAACATAAGACTCTGCACTGTGGTACAAAAGCAGCCCTAGGCACTATGTAAACAAATATGCATGGCTGTGTTTCAACAAACTTTATTTACAAAATTAAGGAATGCACTGGACTTGGCCTATTGGGTTTGCAGAACCCACCTCACGGGTTTGCAGTATACATCTTTAATTATCACAGTTAACCTTCAGGTAGTAGTACACCACTTTAGATGGAGTGTAAGAACCTTACAACAATATGCTTCCATTCCCCTGTATTGTGCTAGTGTTCTACATTTTTTTTTTCCATTTATTTTTATTAGTTGGAGGCTAATTACTTTACATCATTACAGTAGTTTTGGTCATACATTGAAATGAATTAGCCATGGATTTACATGTATTCCCCATCCCGGTTCCCCCTCCCACCTCCCTCTCCACCCGATCCTCTGGGTCTTCCCAGTGCACCAGGCCCGAGCACTTGTCTCATGCACCCAACCTGGGCTGGTGATCTGTTTCACCCTAGATAATACACATGTTTCAATGCTGTTCTCTTGAAACATCCCACCCTCGCCTTCTCCCAGAGTCCACAAGTCTGTTCTATACATCTGAGTCTCTTTTTCTGTTTACATTTATTTCTATATGCTATAAACCACAAACTATTTTTACTTTGACAACTAATTATATTTTAAAATTTTCAAAATGAGCAAAGTGTCTTTGATATTTATGTACATATTTACCCTCTGGTGTTCCTCTTTTTTTTTTTTTTTTGTATAATCCACATTTCCATTTGGTATCATTTTCCTTTTGTCTCATGAGATTCCTTAAACATTTCTTGTTGGGCAGATATGTTGGCAATAAATTCTCTCAGTTTTGGTTAAGTCTGAAAAAGTCTTTATTTCTTCATTTTTGAAAGACAATTTTGCTGTTTAAAAATCTAGTTTTTTTTCCTCCCAGTACTCTAGAACTTCCGGTTTGTACAGTACGTTATACATTTGTGTACATTCTTATCTTTGTTCCTTTGTATGTAGTGTGTCTTTTTCCCTTTTGCTGCTTTTAATATTTTCTCTTTATCATTGGTTTTCAGCAACCTGATTATAACGTTCTTTTCTATGTTTTTCTTTATGATTGTGCTGTTTGGGAATTGTTAAATTTCTTAGGTCTGTGGACTCATCATTATCACCAAATTTATAAAAACTTGGCCATTATTCAAATATTTTTCATGTCTCCCACACCTCTCCTTCTGGATTCCAATTACACTCGTATTATACCATGTGGTACTGTCGCACAGGGTGCTGAAGCTCTTTTCATGTATTTCAGTTTTCTCAGATTCATTCTGGATAGTTTTAATTGCTATGTACTTCAATGTCACTGATCTTTTCCTCTGTAGTATTTAATTGGCTATTAATTCCATCCATACTGGTTTTCATTTCATACATATTTTCATCTCTAGAAGTTCCATTTGTTTATTGTTCTATTTTTCTTTGTATTATGCCTATGTTTTTTCTTTTCTTTCCATGAATATAAGAATCATATTTATAATAACTGTTTTAAAATCTTTGTCTGTTAATTCCTTCATTCCTAGGTCTGGTTCTGTTGACTAATTCCTGCCCCCACCCACAACTTCTTCATATGCCTAGTAATTTTTGACTGGAGATTAGACACTGACTTTTACATTGCTGAATGCTGGATTTTGTTGTATAGTTACTGCATATTAGCTTGATCCTCTCGAGTCTTTTAAGACAAATCTAGAGAATCCTTTATTCTAGAGCAAATTTGGCCCCTCTTCCAAGTTATGCTTCTTTTGGGAGTCTCCACTGAAAGTTCATGCAGTCAGGGATGCTCCTCCTCTCTAGCTGGAGAGAAGTCAAATGATTCCTGGCCCTGAGTGAGCACCAAGAGTGATTCACTTTATAGCTTCTGCTGCCGCTGCTGCCACGTCGCTTCAGTCGCGTCCGACTCTGCGACCCCATAGATGGCAGCCCACCAGGTTCCGCTGTCCACAGGATTCTCTAGGCAAGAACCCTGGAGTGGGGTGCTGCTTCCTTCTCCTTTACAGCTTCTGGTAATTGCTGTCTCCTGGGAAGTTGTGCCTGGATTTGTGGCTCAGAATTTAACCAAAGCCTCAGGCTGTGAGCTGAAGCAATGTAAGGTTAATTTCATTTGCTTCTCTTTCCTCAGATCAAAGTCCTGTCTTGCCTATTGTCCAGTGTTAAAAACAGTATTTTCATGTGTTTTTATCTGGTGTTCTAGCTGTTGACAGCAGGATAACAATTCCCACAGCAGTTACTGCTTTGTGGATACATGATTTGAATTTTTACATTAAAAAAAAAAAAGCAGAGTCATAAATCTCTATTTATTCTTTCCAAAGGACAGTCTTGAGTTTTCTAAGGAAAATGAGGCCAAAATAGTAATATAAAGTTAATACATAGTATGTACCATCTAAAGTTTTCAATACCTAAAATAACTTGAAATTTTTGTCATTTTCTTTCTCATTTTTAAAAGAATCCTTAGCCATCCATTGCTTCCTTAAAGTCAGAGCCAGTAACATAAATATCCTTATTTGTTCTATAAGCAGTAATGATGATGGGGGTCATGAAATTAGGTGACTAACTTGTCTACCTGT